TTTTCAATTAAATTCAATCATCAAAGATTGATGGTATGGTTTCTTCTAGTCTGCATGTGCTGCTCATCACTCAAAGAGAATGGCTGAAGGTGATGATTTTTACCGTCATTTTGAAACACCTTGTCTTGCTTTTAGAGTTTCATGGGTCATAATTCAGGTTCCAGACTCAAGCTTTTAAAGGACCACAGATTATTTGATCAAATAGATTGAAAAAAACAGGGGTGGGAAATGGAGAAGACTTTGAAGGTTAACACTTGATTTATGTAGTAATAGATAAACCCTGAAGAGAACAGCTTTATTATATGTTTCTGGAAAGTTGAGTTTTTGTATTTGACTAAGATGCATTTATTGTTCAAGTTGAGCATCAGGCTGACCGTTAACCCATCAAAGTGTAAAACTCAACACCAGGCAATAAGGTTGACAGCAAGACATGTTTCACTCCAGTATAACCAGCTGGTTTCAGGAAGTCACAAAGCAGCAGGTCAGCATTTCCAGCATTACAGAAGCTAATATAATGGCCCCCTGTTTCTAACACTGGCAGGTCTAAGCAAATAAATAAAAGGAGGAGGAAAAGCAATGCAGTGTTGGAGTGATGAGGCCACATAATCCCTGCAGGACTATTTCAATGACACCATATAGGAGCTCTCCGAGGACCCAGACATTGAGCTTCAGACACCCTCTGTGCTGCCATACATCCCTTTCTTCCTAGGCAATATAACAACTAGGATATTGGTTAGGATATTTCCAAGCTAAAAAACCTAATTCAACACCAGGGCATTACTCCAGGCCAGGGGGTTTGACATTAAAAATAAGAGACAAGGAGGCTTACAGGATAAGCTGGACCTGAACAGAAGCTTCAATGCTGCTAGAAGCCAATTTCAGGTAAACCACCTCTGCTTCATGTGAAAAGGCATCCAGAAAAGTACTGACTATAAACAGGGCCACAACACCCCAAACAACAACTCTCCCTCAAACCAGCTCAACATCTTTTTTTTTTTTTTGCCACTTTGAAGGGGACAGACTGACAAAGGACACACAGCTGATAGTCATCCAACAGAATCCAGTACAGGTCCAGCAAGACATCAACACCAGCAAAGCACCATGATCAGATGGAGCACCAGGATAGGTACTGAAACACCTCCATGTCCTCCACTGTCATCCTGTTTACTGTTGTCCCACAGGGCTGTGTTCTGGGCCCTGTCTTTTACGCACCATAACCTTGTGGCCACCAATGGCTACAAAACCCAATCAAATTTGAGGATGATGGAGCACTGTGGAGCTGATCAACAACAATGATGAAAGACTTTTCATGGAGTATGTCCAGGCACCATTGACAAACATCTCAAATTCTCTGAAAGTTGTAGACACCGCTGCACTCAGGCCTGAGTATTAATGGTGAAAAAAAAAGGTGTTGAAAAAAAACAAACATCTGACGGAATGCCCTAAACCCACACACCTCTGTTGTTTCCATGTTTTAAGGGGACGTTTTATTGACTGCCATTCATTTTTATGTCCAAACCCAGACGTTTACCCTAACACTATCCATTACCAAACATATACCTCTACCAAACAAAAAACAGAATTCATACCACAGATCTAAACCTAACCCCAAACCCCAGAACAGAACTTTTCCTCATGGGGTATCAGTTTACTGGGCTTACAGCAAGTAGCTGTAAGCCCCAACAATCTATCACATTTAACAAAACTGTCCTTAAACTGTCCCAACGAGGTAACAAAAGCAAGTCCACACTTACACTCCTGCCTCCCCATCCAATAAAAACGATACTGCACAATATTATCATGCACCTCATTTTGGGAAATTCACGCCTATTTTGCATACCCAAATGAAAAAGAAAACAACTTAGGAACTGTTGGCTCAAATTACATTATTTGAAAGCTAACACCTTCTAGTTTCTGAATATGTACATGAAAATTTGGTGAGTAAAACACAGCCAAAGCTGCATCAGTTCAAACATGACTCAAAGTTGTATTTTTTTGATCAGCAGTAATATAGACATGCTTGCTTGTAGCTGCTTTGTCATGTTTACATTTTGAATTGCTGCTATATCTGTGTTAATTGTGCTTAGGTGCTCGCTATGTCCATAAAATTACCTTGCAGGTTGAATTGTGGAAAATCTAAGCTTTGCAACGATGTCTAACATGTCTATATTGGTAAACATTTTACCGGTGTAATTTTCATGCATTCTGAGTTATTGGCTGTATACGCTTTAAAACGGGTTTTGAGAGGGTAATGTCACCGCAGACCTTTTTAATGATAACATATATGAACAAAATCTAACTGATAGTAATGCTGCTGAGAAAACATTTGATGCTGCCAAATCAAATTAGTTTTATTCAATGACAAAAGTGTGTCTTGTTTTTAATGTGAGCAACAAGTGACGAAGAGCAGCTGTTTCTGGGATGAGGAAAGCTGATGAACATGCTGTCGTCTCTAACTGCTGTTTCTGAAGCCTAGATGCTGTAAAAGTGTCCCTGTTGTCTGAGGAGCTGCAGCTCATTGTGTTCTCTTTGTGTCGCTCTGATGAGGAATATTCTCTGGCTTCTTCTTCGCAACACGGGACATAAAACATTATGAATGATGTAACGAGCAAAACCACAGAGCAGGAAGACAAACTATTAACTGATTTGTTGGGATCAGAAATATTGTGGTTCTACTGTAAATGAACCCGCGGCTCTGCACAATTCTGCACTACGATCTCTACAGGTATTGGCTATGGTGTTAAAGGTGAGACTAATCCATCCTCTGCTGCACAACACATTACTTTTTCTACACATTTACTAAAAAAAAAACCCAAAACCCCAGCAAAGTTGGATGGAGAAAGTGCTGCTGGGTTTTAGAGAGAATGTGTCATCCACCCTGCTGGTGCTGTTGTTTTTTTGTCAGGCAGCAGAGGTAGAAAACATTGTTAGAATGAAAATAATTTATAGAGAAGCTGTAAGCGTAGTGGCTAAGCTTAGACAGTGTTTTTCTCAACAATCTTGTCTGGAAGTTTGGGTTACTGTTCTAGAACCTATCCATCCTTTAAACCTCTGATGGGTTTCTTCACGATGCTGGTTTTCCTGCTGACGCACTCTAAAGAACCTGAGAGTTCTGAAACAAACATCTACAGCTATTCTGAGATGCAGTTACTGCACTGACTGGGGGATTTCCAACTGTGCCAGATTTTATTTAGGGGTTTCAGTCCAAAGACAGACTGTAGAAAAATGCATGATACATAATAAAGAATACATTAAAATCAGTTCTAATCATCAGCTCAAATCTTGGTTGTGGTGCTGCAGCTTCTTCTTCTCGGTGGCACCATAGGTGGAAAACATCCCATTGGGTCTGGGGGATGTTTGTGTGTTTGTGGATTCAGCATATCTTGGTAAATATAAAACTGATAAAAAAAGAAAAATCTAAATACTCCTGTGAATAACTCACTGTTTGAGAAACAAAAACACTTCCATTATAAAGAGGCAGCAGTTTCCTGACGGAGCAGAAACCTTCTCTAGATCTCATGTGACCAAATAAATCTGCACTTCTTTGATAACAGCTCACAGCTGGGAACATCTGGAATATTCTCAGAATCTCACACTGTAACAAATTGCCCTGTATTTTTACAGTAAAATGCTGGCAGCAGGGTTGCCAGCATTTTACTGTTAATTGTACAGTACCCTTACTGTAATCAACTTTACAGTATATTACTGTCACAAAAGAAATCTTTTGATTACAGCACATTGCTGTTTTTATCAGATTTACAGTAGACTACTGGCAGCTGTGTTGCCAGTATATTACAGTTTTTCTATGGTATCATTACTGTTGAATTCACATACAGCTTACTACTGTAAATTTCCAATACAAAATAGAAACATAAAAAAAAAAACACTTAGAAAATGTAAGTTCCATCATGTCAACCAACATTTATTTGGGAAAAAAAAGAACCAACTCAAACATTGATTCATACACAGTCTTTAGTGGGCCACATAATAAAGAAGAATGTTTTGAAACGACAACGTATTTGTGCCTTAAACCATAACATTTTCTACCAGAATGTTAAGGGTAAACTGTCCAAAGTAAGTCGTATTCTGGAAAAACAGTAAGAAAATCACCATCTATTTTGTAAAATAAATTTCTTAATAACTGATTTAAAGAGTTTTTGAATAAAGCATGAATTGTGGCCTTTTGATTAGTCTGAAATAAAATAAGTATGAAAGAAATTATGGAAATAATGCATTGTACAACTCAGCACACTACTTTTTCAATACAAAATACTACTTTTAGTTGAAGTGAGGACCAATATGATGCAACATGAAACAAATGAAACATTTAACTTTCAATCTAAAGCATAGAAAAAAATTGCGAATTTTAGTTTGATAAAAATTTAAATCAAACATTTAGACTTGAATTTCCTTTAGGGCAAAATCAGAGCTCCAACTTCAAATGATAAAACAATGACACAATATTTGACAACACACTGCCAAGATAAGTTAAACATTGTGCCTATACAGTCAAAATTACAAATTACATCTTAATAACAGAAAGTGGGAGCCTCTACAAAATTTATGCTATAAATTAAAAGAGAGATTATGCTGACCCTTAAACCAAAAAAAATCTCTCAAGAACACTCCTGTTCAGGGATGAGTTGCCTTCATGCCTGTATAGTTTTTTGTTTGTTTGTTTTTGCGCAGAGGGGCAACAATAGCTGGTTAGAAAGTTCTCACTAACCTATGTGAAATTCCACTCAAAGTCCATGAGGTTTTTTAACAGAGTTGAAACACGGGGGTTGACAGTGACCGACTTCTTTTTAACAGTTTTTCCTGTCCTCTTGAAGACAATCTTGCCACAGCTGGCCTTGGTCCCTCTTTCAGGGTTGATATCAGGAAAGCACCTGAAAATGCAGTAATTGCAGATTAGCATATGATGCTTAAGGAGTCAGGGTTTAAGGGGTGCTAGGTGGGAAAAGGGGGGGGCGGACAGACGGAAACAAACCTTACCTCTGGATGAATTCAAGTGTACATGCAGCCTCTTCTTGATATTGTAGATTAAAGATGTAGTACACTGAAAACAGTGCAGCAAGCCCTGTCACAAAGGTTGGTTGAATGCCCTCACATACAACATGGCTCTCGAGACTGATCATCCAGTGCCCAGCAGTCACATGGTCTTTTCCACCTGAAAAATAAAATAAAAAAAAATTATAACAAGTATTGTGACTTCTACAAATTACCTTTACCATTATTTCTAAAACAACATTTATTTAAAGATATTGTGTTTCATGCAATACAAATAAATCAAAACCTTGTCTCATCTGCATGTTATTGTATCGTATTGTCGTAAAAATCTTAAGCCACAACGTCTTTTATTTTTCTTTGCAAAGTTATGGCCATCTTTATTCATTCTCCAGTTAGGTCATCTTTCTTAAGATTTCTACTGACAACCTAAGAACATATGAGCTAAATCTTCAAAAAAAAAGAAGTTTCTACAGGCAAAGTTGATATTGACCTAACCGTGAGTGATCTCTGCTGCCACTCAGCTTATCGTGAACTCTTGGCAAAACTAGATACAAATTTGTAACTTATCTTTGACAGCTGTTTTGTGATCAACTTCCCTTGATTATTTCATTTTTTTTTCTATGACATTATTTTTAAACAAAATTGTAATTTTTCCATCTGTCAAATTCTTTGATCGTTGGCTTTTTGAATGGAATTGTAATAGAATGCACGTTATGCTTGACCCCCAAAAAAACCCAAAAATAATCAACCAGAAGCTTTTTTGTGTGTTTTGTAGACAAATGTACACAGGTTACACTAAATACTCACTTTGGGCTGCAGAACACATTTTTCCAGAAAATTCTTTGAGGTATGGTGACCTATTTTCTGTCATGTCTGGTTGTATTATAATTCAAGGACTGAAAAATAAATATAGTCAATGAAACTTTGCAGTCCATGTCAGTTAACAGTGTACTCACAGAGTAGTATCAGGCGTGGTGTTAAAGGCAGGTTGAAGGTCTTCTCAACATCAGTCACTGTGGCAGATGACTGTAAAGAACAAAGAAATATTAGTAAGAGCATTAGTTCTTCAGGATGAATTCAGATGTCAACAATTCAGTGAAATATATCAGAATAATTATGAAAATAAATTAACAAAACTAACATCTGTGGAAAGGATGAGGCCATCTGTGCTCTCTTTGAAATGGGCCATCAGTAGCTGGACAACATGAAGTGCCACCTCAGCATCTGCATCCTAAGAGAACATTTAAACAGTTTTCTGCCAAGTCAACTTTGTGAAACTCCAAATTCCCAGTTGATATCCATTCACCAATTTCACTTCAGTAGCTAATCATAGCAATTCAAGTCAAATTGCACAAAAGAAAGAAAAGGAGCTTCCAAACATGTCCATATATGTAAATATGAATCATCAAAAAATAACTAAGTAACAATGAAAACGGATTACTTTAATTATTTACCTTCTTATCTACAAGATATATCAAATAATGTTATGCTAGCTTCCTTATTACAGCATGACAGATTAACTAAGCTAACTTTCAAACAGCTACAGTCTGTTTAAAAATGAAAACTGTATGACAACATCATCTGACAAATAAATTATGCTCCAACTTACCTTAGGATTGGCTCATAAAATGCAGGATTCAAATGGATAGTCCTTGTAAAGAAAATTCTAGAGTTTGCTTGCATGTCACAACGACGTGTCTTCTTGAGAAATACAGTAGCATTCTGTTTAAAGAGAGCCTCCTTGCCGTTGAACGTAACATTATTCCATAAATGCAATGCAACTCACAGTATATTACAGTATTTTATTAAAAACAGTAATAATTGCCCAGAATGCATTGTTTTTCACGGTGCAGTACCGTTTTCAATAGAAACAGTATGATACTGTTCAGTTTTGGCCGTTTTTATACAGCAATTTGTTACAGTGCATCATTCTTGTCTGTCTTGCAGTTTTTTGTTTCCATACAGAAACAGATAGCAAAAAATAACTTTAAACTTGAAGCCATTTGAGCTGAAGATGGAGGAATGGCTTTTGCTCACAGCACCTTCTCATACAGTCTTCACTCCTTCATTACTTAAGAAGATGGAAGTTAAAGTGTAAAGTTATTGTTAACAACTGAAAGATTTTTTTTCAAATGATAAGGGAAAGAATCTTAACTTCTGAAGTTAAAGAAATGTTATGGTTATTTTCAGTATTCTGGCTTGATACAGATGTATGTCAACATATTTCCGTTTATTCTCAGGAGAACAGGGCAAGAATGTACAGAGTCAAGGATGAAATGCAGAAATCAGACATCAGCCTGCATGTTTTTCAGATTTTTTTTTCAGTTTGGGCCTTCTGGTGTCTCTCTCTGATGTACAGCACTGTTCAGAGGGAAAGATTTCAACATCAAAATAGATTCAATGGGCCACAAAGTCAAATAGCCCCTTGGGGCTCTCGAGCTGTAGGTTGCGACCCCTGACCAAGCAGATACAGATTTGGATTCTGTCTCAATATGCCTGAAGCTGAAAATGCAACACCCTCATTTTTAAATCACAGTTAAAACAATTAGAAATATAATGGTAAAAACAATCAGATTGCCTCAAAGGCTGAACGCTGGCAGTAATGGTTTTTAGTGCATATAATAAGAATCATTTTCATTACAGGAACCGAAACAGGGGCCCAGACCAGTTTGGCTCCTGTTGGGCCCCAGCCTACAGTAGAACTGCCCATAAAATTGTCATGCTTCTCATAGATGTTCAGGACCTGGTAATGGAGGGATTATCTGTAAAAAAGTCTGCCCTGCCTTGCAGCTGTTTTTGAGCCAGCAGCAGGAAAGCTGCATCTTTATTCAAATTTTACTGCCGGGAGAACATGAAGCTGAAATCCATGCAGTCCAGCAGTTTGCATGGATAATATCTCGCTTTTAGTTTGCAGATATTTTACATTCACACAAAGGTTGAACACACAGGAGAGAAGATGAAAACAACTGTTATCATGAGCACCACTATGACAGCGGCTTTAATGAATGTGGTGTTCTGAGATGGCAGCTCTGGTCCCATTGTGTCTGCGCTCACGAAACTAACCATTATCTGCCTCTCTTACTACCGTCCTGTTGCTGTGTACCTAGTCATTAAAAGTGCTTTGAAGGGATAACATCCTAAAGCACATGTGGATGGCTCTAAACTAGTCCCCATACAAATCTACCTGGAAAGCCTCGATATCCTTTATTTCTCCTGGTTCTTTAGGGTCTGGGGCTGGTAGGGTGACTTTAATTTTTCACAAAATGTAGTTTTAGGATATTTTTACGTTAAAAGTAGACCTCAAACCTTTATCTGCCTAATTAGTTTATCACGTGAATATCTTTTAGAAAAACAAATCTGCTTTTGGAAGTTTGCAGAGTGGCAGGGCTCTGTGCTGCATGGTTTCCAGCTCTGCGTGACCGAGCCTGTAATATTATCAATGACCCTTCACATCCCCACCATGGACTGCTCTCCCTGCTGCCCTCTGGGAACAGGCTTCATAGCATTCAATGCAGGTCCAGAAGATTCTGCAACAGCTTCTTCCCCACTGCCACCAGACAGCTGAACTGCTGAAAAAACTCTAAATCTTGTCACAAACTCTGCATCACACTGATAAAACCAAAGCAAAAATACTGCATATTTGCACCATATATATTAATGCTGTGAACTCCCATATCAATGCGTTTTTTGCACCATGTTTTTTTTTTTCTCCCACACTGTTTTTATGGAATGGAAATGTTCATTTGCTGTCTAAAAACTGTACTAAACGAAATTTTGTTTTGTATACAAAATGACAATAAAAGTTGCCTAAGTCTAAGTACAGGTCTTTGTATGACTTCCATCAAGAAAAGCAATACATGACCATCAAATCCAGAATAAACAGACCTAAAAACAGCATCTTTCGCAGAGTGATGAAAGCAATGCCCCCCCTTGCATTCAAATAAACATCCCATCATTCGGGATGCAGCCACATACTCCCCCTTTTCACACAAGCACAACCATCCCTGCTGATAATCAGTCAGACCAGCAGCCTATTTCAGAAATTGGTCTTGCACTAGCTGTACTTCATGTGCACATTACGTAGATACGTGTAAGTTTCTACATCTTTACAGTATATTAGCTGTGCTTGTCAAGCTGAGAGTCTCTGCAAAATGTTGGTTTCATAATGATAAATAGAGATTATGTCGTTCTTTAGTCTTGATTGGTGAAACGCCAACATGACTGGTTTTAACGATTTCTTCACAAAAAAAGTTAAAAAAGAATAAACAGAAAGAAAATCACCAGAAAATGACAGATAAAGCTGATAAGGTGTTTTTTTATCTGTAGTTTTCCATCAGAAATAACAGGAACACTTTGTCCTCTGACTGATAGAGAGATGGTGCTTAGGGAGCAGATGTCTCTGCAAAAACTGTTGCAAAAAAGTGACAAAGTATACATGCCCATAAATTTAGCAAGTAGATTACATTATCTAAAAATGAAAATAGAAAATTAGATAATTTGCTTTTGAAATAAGATCATTGTTTATTCTTAATTTAAACCATAATGAATTTATACCATAGACAAATTAGTTCACCGGCTAAAGTCAAGGGATAATATGATTATTTGAAGAAAAAATAAGAATTTTCTTACAATATAGTTTTTGCAGCAGAGAAAAAAAAGAGAAGGTTTCAGAGGATTGGGTTTGTTTTACAGTTTTATGCAGACTAAATACTACAGCCTTCATGTGTTTTTTTCTGGGAACTGTGATCACCATGATCACGTAGCTTACAGTTGATTATTTTAATTTTGCCCTCCTGCTCAGCCCATTATTTACATTTACTGTCAGTAAACTACCAAATGTTTCTCTAGGCTGAGGTTCCTCAGTTTTTACTGGTTTCAGAATGGATGACACTTATTTCTGTCATGGGGAACACATCTAGTTAGCATAATTTCTATGGATGGACAGATGGATGGATGGATGGATGGATAAGTCTTTAATACAAACTAATCAAAAGGTATTTCTACTGGAGGAACTGTGAAAATAATTGGAAAAGCTGAAACTATAACAGAGGAGACTGCTTGGAATCAGAAAAAGAGAAAGATTTCTCCAGCTGAGAGGTGGGATGTGGGAGTGAAGGTTGGAGGAGATTCTTTCAGCATGCATGTCTGAATACAGCTCCTCTCAGCCTCCAATCCTCCCTGATGGGATCATCTCTTCTTCCTTTTTGGCATGTCACCACTAATATTTCTCAGTTTACCCTAGAAGCTTGTTATGACACAGCAGAAGGTCTCCAGGCTGATAGAGAGGATCTGATGAAAGTTTTGACGGCAGGAGCCAAAAATAAAGAGTCTTGAGTTGTTTTTATTTGAGATTAAAGAGAGACTCCAGATTAATTCAAGCCTGATTTATCTTTATTGATGCTGTGAGTCTGCAGCTTTATGCACAGCACATCAGAACTTCATAACTTCCAAGAAGCTTTGCATAAATCATCCAAACTTCAGTTACCAACAGTCATTCTGCAGGTTTAAAACCTGCTGCAGATGTAAAATCACTTTGATCGGTGAATATATCTTCCTGTTTTACCCAAAAAAAATATTTGAGTTTCTTTTTTTCCAGCCATATTTTCAACAGAAGAACAAAGCACAGCAGAGCTGGAAGGAACTCAGAGTTTGTTCTACACATTTGTTTTTTATACTTGTTAGATAAAATGAATGTTTAACCGTCTGCATACCAGCTCAGAATAAATATAAACTTCTACTGTATTAAACTGGTTTCTAACACTCTTTCCTGCTGAAATAAATGCAACCTGTGCAGATTCTATAGTAAATCCTAAACAAGTTTATTATAAAAAACAATTTCTGTCAAAATCATGTTTTAGGAGTCAGAACACCAATTCAAAAAGAGCAACTAGACGATGTTCCAAAGAGGTCACACATGTTGCTGGAGGAGGTTCTACCTGCTGTTTATAGAGGTTCTATAGTCTGTTAGAAGAGGTTCCATACACAATTAAAAGAGGTTCTACAGGCTGCTAAAATAAGTTTTACAGCCAGCTAAAAGAGGTTCTACAGTCTGTTAGAGGAGTTTCTATAGGCTTCTAATAATGGTTCTACAGGCAGCTTAATGAAGTTTTACAGGCAGCTAAAAGAGCCTCTCAGGATGTTGGATCATGATATAATCTAATAATCCACTACCAAATTGAGCCAGTGAGGCTGACATCCTGCATGTCTACTTTTAAGGCAA